CGATCTGAATATACTTAATCGAATGCAGAAAAAAGGCGACCAGGTGACTTCTGAAAAGTTGATATATTTCCTTTTGAGCCAGTCCATATCAAACAGAAGTTAAACTGAACAACGCGCTGATTTCTAACTGTTAGAAAGAACGTTGTTGTTTATATTACTGCAGGTAGTTGGAACAGTTTTTAAGAACGCCCCATTGGTTGAAAATTGAACCCTTCCGTAGCAATAAATATCTGATTTTATTTTTTAACACAAGAACTATTTCTACGCAGAAAGTCTAATTTCGAACCAGGAAAGGTTTGATCTGAAATTACACAATCTTTTATTATATTTCAAGCTGTTAATTTTTTTCTTCAACTTTTTTAGCCAGTTTTTCCTTTCTCTCAACACTTGTTATATGAGTTTTATTGATCTGAAAGTAATATCAAGGCTAGCATTCAAAGATGAGTTTGATTTATCTAACTGAAAAAAGATTAAGGCTAAAACTCAAATCGGAAAAACTTACCTCCCAACATTGACGGCGCAGAGTGAATTTTGGACACTTTTTTCAACATTATCGCAAGTCTTATTTTTTCTCTGAAGCCAACTTGCTGTCAGATATTTTGTAATTATGTCACTGAACAATACTTCTGAGATAACGGAAGATGAATGCGCAGATGAGATTTACATGTTCTTTCATTACTTTGCATTGTTTATAAGGTAAGTCTACCATTTTAACTTGGCAGTATCTTTGAAGTTTATTCATTTAATTAGTTAATAGGTAAATAGACGGAATAATTTATTTTTTATACAGTTTTTGTTCTGTTAAACGCTGTTTCTTATCTTTTCACCCGAACCCAAATTACTGGTTGAATTTTACCAGCAGATACCTTAACCTTTTGAGAAGTTGGATACTTGATTTGCCAAATAATATGCAACTTCTCTCTTATATTTCTTTAAAACTTCACTTACGGTCACAAATTTTGCTACGGTCACAAAAATTAATGCACTAGTGATTTTTTTCTCATGACCTTGTGGCCAATTTTTAGCCTTTTTGTCCAAAATTGTTACACTAAATCACTCTATTTGAAGATGGATGCTATCTTTTGATTCATTCAGTCTTGTTAATTAGTGCTTGCTGCGGAAGAAAACGAAATTGTAAAGTAGAAAAAAATTATCCAAATGTTTGTGAGTTTTTAAGATTCCATGTAACGCATTCGCGTTGAATACGAATCTTAGACCTTTCAAAAGAAGATTAAAATTCATTGCAACTAAAAATCATTTATTTTTAATGTGGAAAAGAGCCGAAAAACTTGTTGCTGAGTAGCTCGAAGTTTGATGGTACACTTGATTCCAGGGTGACCACTTAGTCACTATTTTAGTGACCAGTCACTGTTGGTCACTAATTGGTCACTATTTTTTCAATGGTCACTAAAAGTCACTATTTACAACGATTTCTGGCGACGGACCCTAAAATTTTTCTAAAGGCGCCTTTGGCGCCAATATATATTAATATTGAGGGGGGAGCGCGCTCCGAAAAAACGCAATTTTTTTTCAAAATTTTTCCAAAAGTGCACAAAAACGACTTTTTCAGCCTGTTTATTCAAAATTATGCCTGCGGTGCAGAAATTTTGGCCAAAACAGGGACTTTTTAGTGCTTTGGCAGAGCTTGAAAAATTAATTTGGTCGACCTAAAAAAAGATCGACAAAAAATTCGAAAATTGGCAGTCACTATTGTTCTCTCAAAAAAGTGTTCACCCTGCTTGATTCGATCTTCGTAAAATAAAAAAAAAGATCAAGTTTTAGCAGCGTTGGCAATCAGTGAATGCGTGATGTGCTTCGGCTTACTTCTACACTAGTAGCATACTGTACGTGAAGCAGTGTTTGCCGCTATTAATTTTAGGCTAGTCGAATTTGCAGCTGCTTGGGCGCGCACATATTTGAGTCTTTTTTGCTTGCCTAATAATATTTGTCTTGAAAAGTTCTTGATTTGACAAAAATTATTTGCAAGATAATTAACATAGTTTGTCTTCCTAATTTTTAGCCTTCAAACAACTTCTTGAACCATTTTGGAGGCGCTTTCTGAAATTTAGAGTTGCTTTCCGTTTATCATTACCAAGTTTTTCTGAACACTTCACGAAAAAATTGATTGCCGTATGTTAAATGCTTTTTTGTTCCATAATATTTTCCCAAATTGGTTGCTGAATATTAATTTCTGACTTTTGATTACAAAGCATAAATTTGATCAATGAGTCCATGTAAAGCAGTAAATTCAGAATGAGTGACTGTTTTAACCGTCAAATCATTAATATCTGATATTTGATGGTAAAACAAGCTCAACCAATTATCGGAACTAAAAAGTTTTCCGCTGAATTGTCGCTGAGCATCCTAGTGCTTGGCGCGTTTATCTGCTGCATGAAAACGCTGATTTAGCTCAATTTTTGAGTATTACGTTGGGCTCATGTTGATTTTTTTCACGCTTTAAAAGTTCTGTTTTCATTTTATTGTCTTAATCGTAAAGTTTTGCATTTTACGCAGTACGATTTTGCAGCTCAAATAGCTGAATTTTTTCAAGGCCTGGGTATTTTTTGATTACATATTTTTAACATTCGGTTTTGGTTGTTCTATTGCGCTATTATGTTCCAACGATTATGGCGAGGAATTTTCTGTTCGGATGTATCATTTCCACAGAAAGTTTCATTTGTTCAATATTAACTTTTCTTATCTCGTCATTCGAGCGAGGCCGAGCCATATTGAAAAATGGGGAAACATTTATTGGCGATAAAAATGATCAGAATAGTACCTCGAGATCGATGGCGAGAGAGTGAGAAAAGAGGTAAATAAAACTTAAGAGACAAAATTGCCCTTGTACACTCAGCAGCTACGCTTGTGATTTGCTTTGCTGGGTCTTCTTACTGGGTAAATGAGTTGTCCGATTTTCTTGAAGTTGTCCGATTTTCTTAAAGTTTAGACTTTTGAGTTTATTGAATTTTTCGAATCATCTTTCCCGCTTTGGATTTTTTGGATCAACCGTACAATGCCGACTATACTTTGAGGTATTTTACGTGGTTTTTACCCAAAAACTAGAATTTAAAAAAGGAACATTCTAAACAATAACATAACAATATCTGGTTAATATGATGTCAGAATGTTCCATTTTTATATTCTAAGCATTAGTTGATATATTTCTCATCTATCAAGTTTTATTTGGAGATTAATTAGCTTACCTCAATTCAATTTGGAATGATTTCTGAGTTAATTCGATACTTCTCTACGCTAGAGATATGCCTGGAGAGAAAAAAACACCCGGAGCATTCTTTTTTCAGAAAAAAATTCCAATCTGATGCATCAAAAATTTCTGGTCCATGTTTTCCTTTAAAGGGTTCCATTAATATTCTTTGAATAGGGACTAGTCAAATCTTTGCTGGCTAGTTGTAATTTTCTCACATGATAAAATTCTAGACGCTAATTTAATCGAATCACAAGGGTTTTGTTTTAATGTCAATCGTCAGCTGAGACAATCGTAGATGTATGCTGACACAAATCGTTCTCATTTAATTGGTATCGATACAAATCGACAAGTTGCGTGGTCTAGTTCGGTTTGGTGTGGATTCCTGTGTGGCAAGTATTTTTGAATTTTTGTGAAAATTGTTGCCGAATTTCAGGTACTAATTAAACCGTAAGTAAAAAAAGTAAGTAAGTAAGAATTTAATTCACCAAACGCATGTTTCTGTAATAGCAAAATAATCTGTATCATCATATTATGGTGGTGTAGTGATGAACTTGTTTGCCTATCAGCATACGCTGAGTGATTTAATGATGCTTTAATTCAATCAAAAAATAATTTAGCTTGATTTTTAATTTTGACTTTAAAAGTACTTAATTTATGGGAACCAGAAGGCTGTGCTGAGTCTTTACAGCCATATTCGCAACTATAAGTAGTCATTTATTAGGATTTATTAAAAAGGTGAAAAAGTTGCAGACATTTTGAAAAAAAATCAAATCAAAAAGGGTTTTCATCAATTCATCATTGCTAAGTATGAAATTGTTTTAGGCAGCATGCATAAACTCTTTTTTTCATAGACATTTAAAAAAAAAAATTCCTTGTTAATCCGATCATTTGAAAAATAGGGAGGAACTTTGTGTTCGGATATGTTTTAGTTTTTTTCTTTTTTTGTTTTCCACAAAAAAAATCAGCTACCACAAATACTCATCGCTGAGAGTTGAGTGATATGTCATTGCAAAGCCGTTTCAGTCGTGGCTCGGACGACATTAAAATTTTACAAAACATTCTTCAGTGTCAAGAAAAACTGGTCTTACAGTTGCTTAATTTAAGAGTAATCACTTAGTTTTACTCGACTTAATTTAGTTTTCTTTAAGTATTTTAGCTTTTTTTTGGGAAAAATTTCAAAAAATTGCACAAAAACAATTTTTTGTTTTTCTTTTATAGTCATTTTTCTCCGAAAACTGTTTTCCCATTTGCTTATATTACGTTCAGATCCTTTTATTACACCTCAGAGGAAAAAACTACTACAATTAAAAAAAAACTTTTTTGTATTTTTGAGGACTATACAGAATTGAGGATTTTTGTCTTTGAGTTAGCAATCGATACCCAAGTTTCAACAGATCGTACACATAATTAATGCTCGGTGTATGC